TGGCGACTCGCGTGGCGGCACCACCACTCGCGCCGCGCTCACCGATATACGCCGTCTTCTCCGTCACCATGTACTTGTTGTGGTTCACCCGGGCGTAGGGGATCTGGGCTTGCGCCGCGCTTGCCGGCACCATGAAAAGCCGCTGCGGGGAGCGAAGAGACCGTCACCCATGGAGACGTTGCCCGCCGGCATGCTGCGGTCGCGCCGCGATACCCACCACCTCCATGCTGTAGCGGGTCCGATTATCGGCAACAGCAGCGAGGGATTTGAGGAAGGGGAACATGGTCACTTGGCTGTGCCGCCAACAACCCGCCAACAACCGAACCTTGACCCGGCGTTCGAAGACGGCTTTCCGCAGGCGGTTATCGATCGCTGGCCAAAATCTGGGGAGGGAAAGCGGTTAGGCATCACCAGTGCCAGCAAGCCAGGGTCAGCATAGGACCACACGAACCTTTGCGGGCGGGAGAATTCCGTGGTGGGTAGGTAGCTCATCACTGCGATGTTCACAAAGTCCTCAGCGGCATCGATGACATTGAGGAGGGCGCCAAGATCCTGGGTCCGACCGGCAGCACAGAGAGCCGGTGGGGAGCTCTGCCAGAATCATCAGAGACGGATCAAGCACCGGGCACAGCTGATCCTCGGCACCGGGAAAACCAACCGTGGTGGATTGGGGACATACCGAGAAGTAGACGGCGGCATCGGTGTCGTTGAGCTTCAACTCCAATGGCGTCTCCATGTTGAAGGGAGTGGAATAATTTGCCGGCCACGGTACCGGGATGGAAGCGTCAGGAACACCAAGAGCCCAATAAGCTTCAAAAATTTTGCCTAAATCTTTGGCCAAGCAGCTGCAGTTGTAGACGGCGGCTCCGAGCTCCTTCACCTGCGGCGAGCGGCACGGTGGCACCATCACGTCACTGGACGGTGCCTTCATCCCTCTCCAACGCCCTAGGTCCCATCTTAACGGCACTGAGCATCCCGGGATGGGGACAGGGGCTTGGTTTTGGGACAGCCCCGGCGCTGTTCGGCACAGGTTGGGCACCGCGACGGTGCTGCTCACCTGGGTCAAAGACCTCCAGTCCATGTTGGCGCTCCCGATGTAGAGGTGGGTGCCATCAACGAGCCAAAACTTGGTGTGCAGCACGCCGCCCGTGAGCCGCGGCATATCGACGACGCGCACCGCGGCACCTGCGTGACGACGAGTTGGGCGTCTCCCCCTCAACCCCCCCCCAAAAAAACAACGTGGGGTTTTTTTCCATCACTCACCACTCTGCTCCAGCGCTTGGAGATCGTTCAGGGGCCATTTTGCCGATGGGCGGCTGACGGCGATTCGGATGGTGACGTCGCGTTGGGATAATTGGAGAAGTTCCTCCAGGATTTGTTCACCCTGAATCAGCAGGTGGTTTGAGGCCAAAAAAAAGCAGAAATGATTAAAAACGATGGGAAGGTGAGAAAATGGCAGCTGGCGCCAGGTTCAAGAGCCAGAATCGGAGCCGCACCGC